TGTTGTTGTTGTTGTTGTTGTTGTTATTATTATTATTATTATTATTATTATTATTATTATTATTATTATTATTATTAAACACCAGACACAGTCAATCAAAATTATAAAAAGAGGAAGACTAAATATTAGACTGACTCAATAAAGGAAGTCATGGCCTTGAGCTTGCAAGACCTGAGCAGGGCTATTCACAAGAGGACCTTTTAGAGATCTTGAATTCACAGGGCAACCGTTAAGTCAGAAGTGACAACAAAATAAAGACTAGCAGAAAACACACTTTCAATTGTCAGTTTCCTTGGGCACACACACTCTGCCCCTTCCATCAACTCAAAGATAGTGCCCTACAATTTCAAAGATCCTGTAGGAATACCTGTTGCCTTTAAGATGTCTCATGAGCCATTTGTCTAAAAGGCAGACTGTGAGTCTTCAGAATAAATATACGAAATCAAAACCAGAAAACAGAAACCAGCAAAACAAATCATTTACAAGTTTTCTTTCTTTTTTGAAAAACAAAATATGCTGGTGGAAATCATGGTGACATTCTGCCTGATGTTCTACTGTTACCTTCTGTCTGTGAGCCATCCAAACGTGATATTGCCAATGATGTCGATGACCCCAAGGATGGACATTAAGAAAGCTGCCTGCTGATGACTCACTCCAACACTCAAGGCATAAGGTACCAGGTAGACAAAGAGAGGGCTGCAGCCATAGGCCATGAATAAGACAGAGCCCGCAAGCACCACAAAGTCAGGCGTCAGTAAAAAATTGTATTCCTGCCAGGAGCACCGGCACAGACATTTGTGAGACCACACTTTGATGAGCGGGGAGCAGATGGTCCACTGCTTGAGGTCCTGCTTTGGAGCTTCCGGCTCAAACTCCTGCTCGGGGAACTCCAGCATGTTCTTGCGGTTCTCTTTTCCTGCGATTGGTCTCATCAAGGCACCGCAGACACAGAGGTTCAACACAAAACCTCCCAGGATGAGTAAGGCTCCACGCCAGGAAAACTGTTCAATCAGAAGCTGGACCACTGGCGCAAGGATGAAGGTACCAATCCCGCTCCCCGACATGGCGATCCCATACGCCAGGGCTTTCCTTTTGTTGAAATAGTTGCCCACCATCGCTATGGCTGGTGAATATGAAAGGGCAAAGCCCAGCCCTGGGAGGAGAAAATCACACACAAACAAAATACTTGTTAACTAATACACACACACACACACATAAAAGCAGAGGCAGAAGCCCTCTCTCATGCTTTATTCTAAGAAACTGGGAATTTCCATGGGTACACCATCTCTGAACATTGAGACTTGATACCACAGCAGACCCCTCTTCAAATGTATCTAACATTTCTGTAATTAAATGTTATTTAGGTTAGCGGCCACCAAAAGTCTCACTGGTGATTCCCAATAATAACTTTCATTAGCAGAATCTTGGTGAAGTTTGCAAGTGTTATAGATAACAAAAGGGCTTCTTGTTTACAGTCAACACTGTTGATGAAGGATGATGTTGAAACGCTGAGACAACACATGCTATAACAACAGATTCTTTTCCTTAGCAAACAAGCTATTGGCAGCCTTTGAGTACATCATTTCTACAGCACTGTTATTAAACTGCAGGGGTCTGACCACTAAGCTCATATCACCTTGGCTACAATGCTAGTTTTAACAAGTCAGCAATTTCAGCGTAAATATTTCCATTCCTCATGGGGGTGGGGGATGAACCACTAGGGAACAATACAGTATTTTTGTTACTGCTTTTTTAAAGAAATAAATGAATGAGTAAATCCATGGGGAATTAATCAGAGCAATGTAGTCAGGAGACGATGAAGATTTCAAATATTAAATTCAATGAATTATCTGCAAAACATTATTGGTGCAATTGTGTCGCAATATGGCAATGTGGAGGGGGGAGCTTCAATTGAGAAAAGCATTTCACATCTATTAGAAATATGATGAGATTTCAAAATCTAGAAACAAAGTTGTATCTACAGGCTGGAGAACGTGAGTGAAAATATGTGGGAGTATTTTATTTGAGCATTAACTCCCCCCTATCTATTTTACCAAAACTTACCATTTAATACCAATAATTAATCATCCTTGTGCACCTGAGCATGGGCATCCACATGTTGTTATTGTTGTTGTTGTTTAGTTGTCAAGTCATGTCCAACTCTTCATGACCCCATGGACCAGACCATGCCAGGCCCTCCTGTCTTCCACGGCCTCCCGGAGTTGGGTCAAACTCATGTTGGTAGCTTCGTTGACACTGTCCAACCATCTCGTCCTCTGATGTCCTCTTCTCCTCTTGCCCTTACACTTTCCCAACACCAGGGTCTTTTCCAGGGAGTCTTCTCTTCTCATGAGATGGCCAAAGTATTGGAGCCTCAGCTTCAGGATTCGTCCTTCCAGTGAGCACTCAGGGTTGATTTCCTTCTTTATGGTCCAGCTCTCACTTCCATACATCACTACTGGAAAAACCATAGCTTTGACTATGCGGACCTTTGTCGGCAAAGTGATGTCTCTGCTTTTTAAGATGCTGTCGAGGTTTGTCATCGCTTTCCTCCCAAGAAGAAGACATCTTTTAATTTCATGGCTGCTGTCACCATCTGCAGTGATCATGGAGCCCAAGAAAGTAAAATCTGTCACTGCCTCCATATCTTCCCCTTCGATTTGCCAGGAGGTGATGGGATCAGTGACCATGATCTTAGGTTTTTTGATATTGAGCTTCAGACCATTTTTTGCGCTCTCCTCCTTCACCCTCATTAAGAGGTTCTTTAATTCCTTCTCACATTCTGCCATCAGAGTGGTAACATCTGCATATCTGAGGTTGTTGATATTTCTTCTGGCAATTTTAATTCCGGCTTGGGATTCATACAGTCCAGCCTTTCGCATGATGTATTCTGCATATAAATAAGCAGGGAGACAATATACAGCCTTGTCGTAGACCTTTCCGAATTTTGAACCAATCAGTTGTTCCTTCCCGTCCCACATATAGATTTCTCAGGAGACAGATAAGGTGGTCAGGCACTCCCATTTCTTTAAAGACTTGTCATAGTTTGCTGTGGTCCACACAGTCAAAGGCTTTTGCGTAGTCAATGAAGCAGAAGTAGATGTTTTTCTGAAACTCTCTGGCTGTCTCCATAATCCAGCACATGTTAGCAATTTAGTTTCTAGTTCTTTCGAAATCCAGCTTGTACTTCTGGGAGTTCTCGGTCCACAAACTGCTGAAGCCTACCTTGGAGGATTTTGAGCATAACCTTGCTAGCGTGTGAAATGAGTGCAATTGTACGGTAGTTGGAGCATTCTTTGGCATTGCCCTTCTTTGGGATTGGGATGTAGACTGATCTTTTCCAATCCTCTGGCCACTGCTGAGTTTTCCAAACTTGCTGGCATATTGAATGTAGCACCTTAACAGCATCATCTTTCAAGATTTTAAATAGTTCAACTGGAATGCCATCACCTCCACTGGCCTTGTTGTTAGCCAGGCTTTCTAAGGCCCACTTGACTTCGCTCTCCAGGATGTCTGGCTCAAGGTCAGCAACCACACTATCTGGGTTGTCCGGGACATCCAGATCTTTTTGGTATAGTTCCTCTGTGTATTCTTGCCATCTCTTCTTGATGTCTTCTGCTTCTGTGAGGTTCCTACCATTTTTGTCCTTTATCATGTCCATCTTTGCACAAAATATTCTTTTAATACAGTGGTGCCTCGCTTGACGACGTTAATTTGTTCCAGCGAAATCACTGTAAAGCAAAAACGTGGTCAAGCGAAATTTAAAAAACCATTGAAACGCATTGAAAACTGTTCAATGCGTTCTAATGGGCGAAATACCTGCTCGTCCAGCGAAGATCCTCCATACGGCGGCCATTTTCTGGTGCCTGTAATGCGAGGAATCCGTCCCTAACACAGCGGGGAGCCATTTTCTACAGCCGGTGGCCATTTTGAAACCTGACAATCAGCTATTTGCTGATCGTCGTAAAGTGAAAAATTGGTTCCCGAAACAAAAGTGATCGCAAAAACTTCAACGTCAAGCGGCTTTGTCATCAAATGGGGTAATCATCCAGCAGAGCACCACTGTATCTCCAATTTTCTTGAATAGATCTCTGTTTTTTCCCTTTCTATTATTTTCCCTCCCTTTCAAGATTTTAAATAGTTCAATTGGAATGCCATCACCTCCACTGGCCTTGTTGTTAGCCAGGCTTTCTAAGGCCCACTTGACTTCGCTCTCCAGGATGTCTGGCTCAAGGTCAGCAACTACATTGTCTGGGTTGTCCGGGATATCCACATCTTTCTGATATAATTCCTCTGTGTATTCTTGCCACCTCTTCTTGACGTCTTCTGCTTCTGTTAGGTCCTTCCCATTTTTGTCTTTTATCATGTTCATCTTTGCGCAAAATGTTCCTCTAATATCTCCAATTTTCCTGAACAGCTCTCTGGTCTTTCCTTTTCTGTTATCTTCCTCTATTTCTTTGCATTGTTCATTTAAGAAGGCCCTCTTGTCTCTCCTTGCTATTCTTTGGAAGTCTGCATTCAAGTTTCTGTAACTTTCCCTATCTCCCTTGCATTTTGCTTCCCTTCTCCTCTCTGCTATTTCTAAGGCCTCGTTGGACAGCCACTTTGCTTTCTTGCATTTCCTTTTCTTTGGGATGGTTTTTGTTGCTGCCTCCTGGACAATGTTACGAGCCTCTATCCAAAGTTCTTCAGGCGCTCTGTCCACCAAATCTAGTTCCTTAAATCTGTTCTTTACTTCCACTGTGTATTCATAAGGGATTTGGTTTAGATTATACCTGAGTGGCCCAGTGGTTTTTCCTAATCTCTTCAGTCTAAGCTTGAATTTTGCTATGAGAAGCTGATGATCAGAACCGCAGTCAGCTCCAGGTCTTGTTTTTGCTGACTGTATAGAGCTTCTCCATCTTTGGCTGCAGAGAATATAATCAATCTGATTTCGATATTGCCCATCTGGTGATTTCCATGTATAGAGTCACCTCTTGTGTTGTTGGAAAAGAGTGTGATGACCAGCTTGTTCTCTTGACAAAACTCTATTAGCGTTTGCCCTGCTTCGTTTTGAACTCCAAGGCCAAATTTACCTGTTGTTGCTTTTATCTCTTGCCTCCCCCTCCTTTAGCATTCCAATCCCCTATAATGACAAGAACATCTTTCTTTGGTGTCAGTTCTAGAACGTATTGTAAGTCTTCATAGAATTGGTCAATTTCAGCCTCTTCAGCATCGGTGGTTGGTGTAAACTTGGATTATTGTGATGTTGAAATGTCTGCCTTGGATTCACATTGAAATCATTCTGTCATTTTTGAGAATGTATACCAGTACAGCTTTTCCCACTTTTTTGTTGACTATGAGGGCTACTCAATTTCTTCTACAGGATTCTTGCCCACAATAGTAGATATGATAATCGTCTGAATTGAATTCGCCCATTCAAGTCCATTTTAGTTCACTGATGCCCAGGATGTCAATGTTTATCCTTGCCATCTCCTGTTTGACCATATCCAGCTTCCCAAGGTTCATAGATCTTACATTCCATGTGCAGTATTTTTCTTTGCAGCATTGGACTTTCCTTTCACTTCCATGCGTGTCCACAGCTGAGCGTCCTTTCAGCTTTGGCCCAACCACTTCATTAACTCTGGAGCTACTTGTATTTGTCCTCCACTCTTCCTCAGTAGCATGTTGGACGCCTTCCGACCTGAGGGGCTCATCTTCCTGCATCATATCTTTTAGCCTATTGTTTCTGAATATGGAGTTTTCTTGGCAAAGATATTGGAGTGGCTTGCCAGTTCCTGCTCCAGGTGGATCGCATTTAGTCAGAACTCTCCACTATGACCTGTCCATCTTGGGTGTCCCTGCATGGCATAGCTCATAGCTTCTCTGAATTACTCAAGCCCCTTCACCATGACAAGGCAGCAATCCATGAAGGGGGTCCACATGTTACAAACAACAAATCTAATTTTGAATTCCAAAATGAAGAATCTGTTGTGGCTTCTCTGCCTCCATATTTGAAGTTTTCAGATCTGAGTAAGAATCGGTATTTTCCAAAATTAAGATGAATTCTGATTGTTTCATTCCCTTGGTCAATGATCTGTTCCCATCTTCCTTTCCTCAAAAAGCCTGATATCATTGTTGTTGCAGGGCTTTGCACAGGCCTGTTCCTCTCTCCCAGCTCCCTTCCTCAGTTTCCAGTCAGTAAAATGGCAATTATGGTGGCCTAATTCAGATATGCAATTGGAAGCTGATTCAGATGGCAAACCTAACATTACATACTAAGGAGTAAGCCCTGCTGAATACAATGAGAGTTACCCTAAGTAACATGTACAGGGCTCTGCTTGAACACGATTGCCATCTGGAGCCTTGAATTCAGTTCCCCTTGAACTCATTGGGTCCTGCTTCCCAAGAAATATTCATAAAACAGGAGCCTCAGACAATATTCAAAAGCATGGAGAAGAATGGTTTAATGGGACAATAATGTCCAGCAACATTGTCAACAATACCTGTAAGAACTCCAAGGGAAAGGTAAAGATGCTCCAGACGTGTGGCAAAGGAACTCAGGATGAGACCAGCAGACGCAAGCAATCCTCCTAGCATGATGCCCACTTGACAGGAGACATGATTACTGATAAAACTCCCAAGCGGCGCTTAAAATGAAAATGACTACAGTTACCATTGAGCATGTTGTCTTATCAACAAGTATACTTTCTACAGGCAAAGCTGACTGTTAGGAATCTATACCCAAACATGACTAAATGGATCATTCCAACCTCATTTCAAAATCACACACACACACAATGCTATGGTAGGCTTGTATGTCCCTCCAGATACCACTTGTTCTTGTCTTCTCCCCTTCAAAATGTCTGAAGAACTATGGATGGAGTCTCGTAACATTGTACAGGAGGCAGCAACAAAAACCATCCCAAAGAAAGGGAAATGCAAGAAAGCAAAGTGGCTGTCCAACGAGGCCTTACAGTAGAAATACAACATTCGAATTAAAAACAAAAAGGCTCTTCTATGAGTGTGACTACATTCGGTATTGTTGTGATTTGATTCGCAGCCTGTGTTATATTTGAAATCTCAGTCAGTGTTCACACAGGATTGGAGTTCACCATTCTTACTGGATATGATGCCCCCCAATCTTTCCTTCCTCTGGTCCCACCTTTGCTGATCATTTTATAAGCTGTAAATGTGGGTATTAGTAATAGCAAGAACCCAGAAATAAGGTGATAGGGTGATCTGGGCATTCACCAATGTTCTGACTACTCACCACAAAGCATTGTTGCACAGTCTACAATGGAATGGATCCAAGCTGTCCGGGCATAATCCTGAGCAAAATAAGTCTGGAACTCCACAAAAAAAATTGAGATACACCTGTAGGGGTGGGGGTGGGGGAGGACATGCAGTAATTCCTTATAAAAATGTTTAGACCAGAAGATATTGCAGTTAAAACTGATAAAGTTAAAACTAATTAAGTTGAAGTTGGCGTCTGTCTTAAGGACTCAGGTGATAAGATACAAGTTCTCCTCAGCATCTTTAATTATAGGGACCAGAATAAATAAAATCAGAGTTTGACATTGTTAGTATTAGTGGTAATACATTAGTGTTAAATTAAGGAAACACATTTCCCATGTACAAACTACAGTGGTTGAAGTGTTGGGAAATCTGAGAAAGAGAACTTCCATTTTGAGGAGAAAATATGTCAGCTGTCATCAAGTGATATAGTTACGTGGGCAGTCACCCAGTGCAACCCTCTACTTGAAACATGATCTGCAAGGCAAGGTGCAGCTACAATGATCCTAACCAGCGGCCACTGCTTAAATATTGTCAGAGGAGGACAGCCTGTCACTTTCCTCTATCAAACTATTTGCACTGTCAGATGTTTTTCTGTAGGAGGCTTTTCTTCATGCGTAGCCAAAATCTTCTCTGCAGTTTATAAATAAAAATAATCATGGGTTGTCAAGTCAATTTTGACTTATGGTGACCCTTTCCACAGTTTTCCAGGTGGAGAGTACTCAGAAGTGGTTGATCATTCCCTTCTTCCAGGGGCATTATGGGACTGTGCAGCTTGCCCAAGGCCACACAGCCTGGCTCTACTCCCAACCAGATACCTCCACAGTCAGATACGTACCTAAACCACTGAGCTATCCAGCAAGCCTCTGCAGTTTATACCCAGTGAAAATTATATACAGTATGAGAGAAACAAATTAACTTTATTTATATTGCTTTTATAAACTGAGTTTATAAAAAGAGACCAAATACTTATTAATAATGACTTCTTATATTTGAAGGGAAGAAGTTAACTGTTCCTTCAATCATCTCAAGGGCCAAGGAAACCCTTTTGCAATGTGCAGTCATTTCGTGGAATACTATTCTGGCTATCCTCTGCTTACAGAAAAGTTAACTGAGGAGAGGATGTATTTGCGAAGGAGAGGATCTCAGTCAAAGTTTAACATTTATTGGTTGTTGCTGTTTATCCACAATACTTGAACTAATTTATTAATTTTTTAAAAAACTGTGACAGAATAACATGGCAAAATCATATCAATATATACAGTATATTACACTAACACTGAATGCTGGCTTTACTTTACTTTCTTTCTTTCTTTTCTCTGTTTTGAAGAGAGGCAGTATCAAATATTTCCTGAATACTTTGGATAGTTAAGGAGTATATATAGAGGAGAGGCCTTCTAGGGTCACTTACCCCTCTCGTTAAGGAGAAGGGTTGCCATGAGTGAAAAAGATTTCACAACAAATGCACCAAGCAGAAACTGGGTCACTCAAGTCCTCAGGAGCTGCAAAAATGTAGGGCAGCAGCAGGAAGGCAAGAGTACATGTGTGTCACCCGGACAAACTGAGCTAAGCGGCACCTCAGCAGGTCTTCCTGCATCTCAACCTTTGTTATTTACTAAGCAAAAACAATGAACAAGGATTTTGATCATTTAATAATAATAATAATAATCCTAGAACTGCAGAGCTAGAAGGGACCCTGTAGATCATCAAGTCCAGCACCTGTCAAGCAGGCACTGTGGGGAACCAAACTCCCAACTTCTGGCTCTGCAGCCAGATATCTAAACTACTGAGCTATCCAGCAGTTCTTAATGAGAACTGAGAGGAATCCTTCTGCAAAAGATGCCAAATTAACTTAGTTGGCTTAGGAAATGTATGGAACTTTAGCTGTGGAGGCACCATTCACTGGTCTGCCTGAGGCAACAAAGTTACTTGGGTAGGATTTGTACACGTTACCTGGCTCAAGGACTGCCCCCACCGCACCAGAAGATCACCACCTCCACCGCTCAAGCAAGGTCTAGCAGAGCCCAGGTAAGCAGGTAGATGGGAGTGGCAACACTCTTCCAGGGATGGTGACACAAGTTGCGGGACTCGCTGTCAAGTCAGGCTTAAGTCACACCAGTGACTCGACTCACATCTGAGTCGTTCCCCTCCCCCCCCCCAATGTCTAGGACTCAACTCACAACTCGGAAGCCACCTACCCTTCTCTTTTTCTTCTGGGGAAAAGAGCTTGTTTTCAAAAGGGCTTTGAATTTGGGGCTTGGGACCCGGGCCTTGATACCAAAGACTTGGACTCAGACATGGACTTGATACCAAAGACTTGGACTTGGGACTCCGACCCAAAGGCTTGCCAACACCCCTTTCCTCTTCCATACCTCTTTCCTAGCCACTTTCCTTGCCCAGCCTCTTGTTGGCCAACTGTTTATAAAATGGTTAAGGCATTGTGGGAAGAGAGGACAAAAAATGTTTAGGCCATGGAGCCCGCCATGATTTATATATTACTGGTGAGAAGGAACGGGACTAGGGAGACATGCTCCATTTTTTGGGTGGGAAAAGTAGTTGAGAGATGGCTTTTGTATAGTGACCATAAAAATGGGCTTGAGGTGATCCTGTAGTATAACTTCTCCTTACTCTGTATTAAACGTACAGGACCGTGACCCCTATTTTTTTCATTTAGCCCCTGACAGAGGCACAAAGAATCCCATACAAAATGGGTTTACCTTGTCACAGCTCTAGTGCAGATGGTGACGAGGAAGCAGCCGATAACAATCATCCACCCCCAGCCGCCATCTGGAGGAGAGGTACTTAACCCTTTCAGTGGTGCAACCATGGCTTTGGTGAGGAATCTTTCTTTGTAATCTGAATCACTCGGTAAGACCCATGCCAGTCAACAAGCCCAGGCATGCATGGAATGTTACCTGGCACAAGGATTCTTCGACATCTGAAACAAGAAAACAAAACACACACAAGAGAAAAGTTCAAAGCAAACCGTTCTTTGTCCTACAAAGGGGCACTATCAAATGATCCAATGGAGCTACTGCTTTATTGTTGAAAGTTAAGATTTATTTTTAACTCCCAAGAATTATATGATGCAGATTCTATGCATCCTTGGGAGCAGCTGACTATTGGCCCTATTCTTTGATTTAATCCTGTGTCCCTCCATTAGTTTTACTTTACATTCATGTCACCAAGCATCTTTATGTCTTCAACCATGTGTACCTCTTTAAACCCCTGTAAATATTTTGTAGCACATAACAATTTAGAATGTAGATGCACCCCAAATGCCAAAGTTCTGTCATATTCAGGGAAGTAATACAATACTTGAAACCTGTTGCAGCATATTAATAGGTAAGAGGTTGAGCTATTAATCAAAAGTCCCTGATTCAAATCTTGCCTCTGCTGTCTAATTATTAGACGAATAATTCCGCAGGCTCAATAAAAGTGGCTTGCCTAAGGTCATCTGGTAACTAATAATGAACTGAGACAAATGGGGGAAACTGCAGAGCTGGAAGGGGCCCTATAGATCATCAAGTCCAGCACCTGGCAAAGAGGCACAGTGGGGATTACAGGATTACTATGAAGTTTCAAATTAGTTATCTAACATGTGAAGCACTCTGAAAACATGAAAGCAGCGTTCATACGTTTACTATTGTTGTTATGCTATTTATCATTATTTACCTGATGCAAGTTTTGAAACTATAACTCAATTATATAACTATAGAATCATAGAATAGTGAAGGTGGAAGGAGACTATAAGGCCACTGAGTCCAACCCCCTGCCCGATGCAGGAATACAAATCAAAACATATCTGCCAGATGGTTGTCTAAATTTCTCTTGAATGCCCCGAGTGCTAGAGCACTTACCACCTCTCAATGTAATTGGGTCCACTGTCTTCCTGCTCTAACCATTAGGAAGTTTTTTCTGATATTTAATCGAAACCTGGCTTCCAGTAATTTGAGTCCATTGTTGCGTGTCCTGCACTCTGGGATGATCGAGAACAGATCCTGCCCCTCCTTTGTATGACAGCCTTTCAAATATTTGGAAGATATGATAGCACCCCTCTGTCTTCTTTTTCTCAAGGCTAAACATGCCCAGTTCTTTCACTCTTTCCTCATCGGACTTGGTTTCCAGCCCTCTGATCATCCTTGTGGCCCTCGTCTCAACTTGTTCTAATTTGTTAGCATCCTTCTTGAAGTGTGGTGTCCAGAACTGGACACAATACTCAAGGTGAAGCCTAATCAGTACTGAATAGAGAGGGGAACTAGCACCTCGGGGGACTTGGAGACTATACTTCTCTTAATGCAGCCTAAAATAGCATTTTTCTTTTTTGTAGCCACAAAACCTCAAACTATATATATGCAGCCCAAACCTAACCAGACCAACTAACAAGATTCTTGTAGAGAAATATACATGGGATCGTCATGGGATTGTCACCCTGCAATCTAAACCTATGCATATGTATCTAGAAATCCTATTTGCACAACCTACTCATGAAAAGCTATGCAAAGGATTGCACACTAAGGGCTATATAACATTTTAATTCACATATTTCTGACTCTGCCACCACCACCCCTTCTCCCAAAGCAAATCTCCAAAGAAGTTTTCTCATAGGTTCTTGTGAGAGTCACAGTTCAGAATGGCATTCTCCCCACCCCACTGTGTGTCAAAAACCCCAGTTAAAATGTTTTCTGAAGCAACACCCTTGAGGATAGAATTTCAAAGGCATAAATAACATTTGAGCACCCAACTGTCAGCCATGCTTTTGAAATTCATTTCCTTTACAGACTTTCCTCTGGAGTTTGAAGGAAGGACTGGCTCAAGAAGCTGGAATTTAGAGCTAGATCAAAGCTTTGCACCACTAAATTCCAAAGATAGCCAACCAGGCTCAAAGGCTATCTCTGTAGAATGCAGATTCTTTTGCTCGGTTTCTTTTTGTAGATTATTTTTTCTTCTGTAGGTGCCATTGCAGAAGCAGTTACATCCCCAGATAGATTTATACAAAGATTAATTTTACTTCAAACTCTATATTTCTTCTCTTTATTTGGATGGCCGTTTTTAGCCAGCGTCCTTATTTCTTTTTTTAAATCCTACTATTATAATCCCAGCAACGAAAGGGGCTTCATCAGTATGCCTTCCTTTTTATGTCCCTGTTTCTACTGTAAAACAGGACTGTCAATCAGTCAGTCCCTTTTCCTGGTGTATCCATTCCCCATTTTTTTTCGGCGAGCTGTCATTATCCTCAATTTCCCCATCACCATTTAGTCCTCCATAGTTACAGAAATGAAGTAAGAGTGGTGCTTTTAGAGGACTATCCATGTAGACCATCCAGAACTGTAGCTGGTATATTTATTATTTATTCAATTATTTTATGTGTTTATATCCTGCCTTTCCTCCAGGGAGCTCAAGGCAGCATACATGGTTTTTCTCTGTCCAAATTATCTCCTCATAACATTCAGTCACTTCTAGCTGATAATTAACGAGTCCCTGTTGGGATTCTCAAGCACAGGTCAAGCCAGTGGATGTGCACTCCCTGCGAATCCCAGCAACAACTCAACAACTGCTTGCTACAAGCAACTGGATGTTGTGCCATTTGTGATCCACATGTGTAATGAAGCAACAGGATTCCAGCAACTGTATTAAAATCATAATGTAGTGTAGTTATTGCACCATCCAGGAAAATAACAAGTATCTTACTACTTGTAATTCAGTTACTTCCAACTGCTAAATTAGACTAGTAAAAAAAACTCATAGATTTGTGATGATATAAGTGAAACGTGGATATGCTGTGCCATACCCATTAATCTAAGTACTGGAGACTTCCAGCTCTGAGGGGTCTGACTTCTTGGCAAACTTGAGTTTTTCCTTTTGGTTAATTCCCTTTAGTTAGTACAGCATAAAGAATAAAACAAAATGCTGCCAGCAGGGGAAATGTGGAGGAGAATAGCTTAAAAAATTTCCAGTTTTCACCCAGCCCTTTTGTTTTTTTACTGGTTCTTTATATATAAAAGAAAAATCACTCTACAGGTAGCTCAAGTTGAAAGGAAAGAACATCTTTACATAAGCTGTTCTTCAGTTACAATCAGAAGAGTAAAAAAGGGTAAAAGAAAGAAGTTGCAGCCACAACCACGTGGGAGGCTCAGTCCTCCATTGCAGCTGCCTGGTCAGAGGTCAAGAGCAGAAAATTCCATCTTGGCTCTGAATGATGGCCAGAGGGGATGAGAAGGCAAAGCAAGCAGGACAAACAGGAAGAGGAGTGGAGCAGGTCAGAGGCATGAGAAAACAACTTTGCTAATTGGTTAGTAGGAAAGAGAGAGACAATCTCGTCAGCTAGCCAAAGCTCCCTCCCAATAATACCCAGTGTTAATGATATGCACGGTTATTATCCCAACAACCTTTATATCAGTTTAAAGCTGTGTCATGTAAATTCTGCAACTACTGAGAAACAAATGAAATATATGAAGATCTTCCTTTTATAATACTAATAACTGCATGCCATCTAGTCAGTTCTGACTTATGGTGACCCTGTTCAGGGTTTTCTAGGTAGAGAATACACAGAAGTGGCTTACCATTCCCTTATTCTGAGGATGCCTGGGGCACTGCAGCTTGCCCATGACTACACAGGCCGGCTCTTCTCCCAGGGGGCACAGAAGGGAACTGAACTCCCAACCTCTGTGTCCACAGCCAGATACCTAAATGACTCAGCTATCTTCCTTTGGGGCCATCTATAGTAATGTTTTGTTGCTCAGATGGAAAAGCTCCTTTCTTCCCCCATTGAAGTAAAGATTTTAGACAAATAATAAACAAAGTTGCCTGATATGTGTGTCAGTTTTTCTTGGAAAGGAACACAAAATCGCCCAGCTGCAGTCCAGTCCTTGAGCTGCTGAATACACAATAGTCATGCTGACAAGAATCACAGACTGTCCCATGAAATGTTATCTGATCCTGTTTCAAGGAGTGGACCGGGACTATTTTGAGAAAAAACAGCGATAAGCAACTCAGAGGAAGTTTTCGTTCTCTTTGTGCTGTATTAGCCCAGGTATTAAGACCAATTCAAATCTTACGGTCCCACAGATCATAACTGCCCCATAAAACACCAGGGATACGGAGGACTGCAGTACAGTGGACCCTCGACTTACAGACGGCTCGACTTACATACTTTTCAAGTTACAGACTTCTCTGGCTGCAAAATTTAGATTCGACTTGCAGCCGGAGAATCGACTTACAGACCAGAAAAAAACCAAAATGGAACAAAAATAGAATAAAAACCACTGGTTATGGGATTAATCGGTTTTCAGTGCATTGTAGGTCAATGGAGATTTGACTTGCAGACTTTTCGACTTGCAGCCACCATTCCAGTACGGATTAATTCCTTAAGTAGAGGGTCCACTGTACTCAGTCAGCCCTCACAATCATGCCCATGGCATTATATAAACCTGTCGCCTAAATACTGTACTCCATGGGTCTCAGGAATTAGACTGTAATCCACAAACCCTCACATTAAAACAAATCTTGTCTTTGAAAAGAAAACATGGACCTGTTCAGATGCCGTGGACCATGAAGATCTCCAGCTATTGAAAGAGCTTCAGTTATTCCTAGGCCCTTCCTCTGCTCTGGGAGAAGCAAGTCATACCTGATTCTGGATGTTTCTTTGAAAGTATTATTATTGTAAACCAGTCTCTTTGGGTTACAAAGGGGAGGCAAACCAACACCACCTAAGAGCGATTGTGAACAAGCCTGTCCCGCCCCCAGTGTGCAGAGTGGGGGAAAAGAGCTGGCCCAAAACATTTCACTGCCTGAGGCAAAGAAGAAGGTGCACTGCCTTCCCTTCTATATACAAAAACGTAATGGACTAAGAGCTGCATTTATCTTCAAGGCTATAGATGGGACAGTATACCCAATTCCAGTTGAAAGCAGAAGGCGAGAGCACAGAGCAGGCTGCACATACTACCCTTTTCTCTTCCAAAATTTGCTGCCTCCCACGTCCAAATAAATCTGCCACCTGAAGTAAATGTCAGAAGTTATTTGGGGGGGGGGGGATCTCCCAATTCTGTCTCTGGTTGCTTTAATTTTGTTGTTGTTCCTTCACTCAAGACCCTCCTAAGTGCTCAGTTACAGTCCTGTCATCTGTTTTTTGTTGTTGTGTGCCTGCAAGTCAGAACTGACCTACAGTGACCCTATCAGGGCTATCGAGGTAAGTGAGATATTTATGAAGTGATTTTACTAGTTCCACAACCCCTGTGATTTTCCATGGCTAACTGGGAAGACCTCAGGCCTCTGAATCCTAGTCCATTACTCTATCCAATTAACCAACACTGGGTATCCTCATCTGTGCTTTACTCCAACCTAAATGGCAGTTTATTCACAGTTACACTGGAGTGAAATCTCAGGGTTACATATATAGTGGGTTTTGCCCACTGGTATTTAGAATCAAAATGATTTGTCATGAAAGACTTGCAGTATTGACTCAATAAATGTTTACGGATGTATCAACCATGAGAAAGTATTTCAGGCAGCCTGGTTCTTCCTATACTGTATCTCTGCTCAAAAAGCAAGTTGCACAGAGTTGTAAGGGCAGTTTAATGTCTAGGATTTACAGCCAAAATCATTAGTGTCAGACCAGGATAAGGGAGTGATAAGGGAGTGATGGCATCTTAATTCTTGACTCAGGATGCAATCCTATACACTGATGTAGACGTCCATTGAACTCAACGGTCTCAGCTGAAACACACAGAGTTGCTAATACTCATCTATTGATCACGTTTTTCCTTTTCCAAATTTCTGTGACAAGTTTTGTCATTCTGTTTGTTTATATATATGAATAAATATATCCTGACATTATAGGGTTCAAGTGATCCGTAATGCTGACCATTTTTGGAACAGTGCAAATTGTGATGTTGTGATGTTTATCCAGTACGTAGCAAAGCTAGATGTAATCCTGTTTAGGAGACAAAAATAAGATTTTAAAAAGCAGTGCGGCTGAAACAGCCTGGGATTGGATGTTGCAGGGACCCCACTCTGCCCACCTTTAGTCCTAATGATCAATAAGTATATCATATTTTAGGGAGGCTCATCAACTTATTTAAATTGTGTGTTTAAAGAAACATACTGACTAGTTTCTATGCTCATAGACATTTTTAGTTATCATACTAAAAATTATATTTTCTTCTAAAATAGAACAGAGCATCAGTGTTTTTGTCCCTTTCTAGGGAGAGAAACTCTCTAAAGCTGCTATCTTCTGAGAAACTCTTCATTTTGTATAGGTTTATTTCATGTATATTTTTTTTTTTGAGGGTCTGATCACAGTGGAAAAATATGAGGAAATGCTATGGAATTAGGATGGACAGATTCATATTTTTCCTCCATTGACCAAATGACATAAAAACCAATGCAAATCAGCCTGGAGGGGCCCCAATGTGTAGTTTTTGCCCCCATTGCTGAAGCTTCTACTTTTTAAAATTATCACATCCATTTTCACCAGTTCAAACAGTGTGATCACTTAAACCAGTGCTGAAAACTGCGATACTTCATTCTCTGCTGCTTCCCTATAGGCAGAAATGCCCTTTTTTCCTTTTTTCAAAAAACAGCTTGGTGCCAGCACTGTTGTGCTAGGGCACTGAGACAAAAAGGAAGGAAAGAAGGAAGGAAGGAAGGAAGGAAATTGCCACTCTGCTCTTCTGTATAGCTTAAGTAGTTCTTTTGTGGTGGGTGGGTGGGTTCGTTCATTCCACTCAAGCATTAAATACCTCCCTATGGCTACAAGGCCACTCTGGGTGGTTCACAACATGATAAAACCCTGAGAGACACTGCAATTAAGAGTCCAAGGAGTGGACACCATCTCCCAAAGCTGCACTCTTTGAGGACAGTCCTCTAAGACTGAACAGAGTCCGGACAAAGCCTGACCACCAGTCCCCAACCCAGAGAGCATCCACAGGAGGATACCATGGTTGATGGTATCAAAGGCCACTTAGAGGTTGAGGAGGACCAGTGGGGACATTTTGCCTGTCATTCTCTCTCAAGAGGTCATCATGCAGAGCAGTCAGTGCTGTCTCTGTGCCATGACGGAGCCTGAACCCAAACTGGAATGGGTTGAGGATGTTGGTCTCCTCCATGAATGCCTGTAGCTGATCAGCCACCACCCTCTCCACTAGCTTGTTTAAAAAAGGAACACTGGTGTCAGGTCTATAGTTATCAATATCATCCACTGCCAAGGATGTTGTGCCTCCTGCAGGATTACAGGAGAACTACATTAACAAGCAGCAAACAAGGCCGTTTAGCCAATTTCCTTCCTTTTCTGTGTGGCCAGTTAAGTGGAAGAGTCAGGGAAACCCAAATTCCTTAGTACAACTTCACAGTGAGTGAATTCACATTTATCTTGCTGTGTAGTCACACTCAGAGTTTGTGTTCTACCTTTCATACTGACTTGATACAATTCTTTAATTGTGCATGTATGTGCCATAGCAAAAATGAGAGATACATTCAAAGTCAAGTGTGAAACTGGTTTAAAAATCATCATTTCCCACACTCAACAAAAATACTTGGCCACAAACCTCTGCCTGAAATAAATAAAACAGGTGCAACTTTTCCTGTCCCTATACTCAGAAACTCCTTGTTGAATACCTACATTAGCTAAAACAGGAAATAAATAAATACATAAATAAATAAATAAAAATAGAGTCCTTTAAAAACTAGTAAGTTCTATGTGAAATATGTCTTCATTGACTAACACCCCCTTTCATAACATGCTGCCTTCTTCAAAAGTTTTACTTTTGAGGTGTCAAAAGCCAAAACCTACAAAATATCAATGTGATATTGAAGCTGTGCTTTACCTTCTTCCTCCTTCATTTCGCTGTCTTTTCCCAACATTCCGAATGTTATATAAATGAAAACTCGGAACTAACTGTGTTTAGAATTACACACTGTAGAATAACAATTTCTGCCACCACAGCTAGATGGGAACAGTAAGGTGGCCTTCAGTTTACATTGGGGATGGTAGGAGACACTGAAGTTCCAAATTGTGTAATGTACTTTACCTAACCTAACCTAACCTAACCTAACCTAACCTAACCACTCAAGCATTAAAGTACACAGATGAGCTTTGCAATGAGTTCATGGGACTCCGAAGGGGGAAAGACAGCAGAAATTTTCCAGAGGTGTCAGAAACCCTGCGGCATAGATGGTTTGTCTTGAAACAGAGTCATTCTTTAGTTAATAGATTACTGTACATCTTAATCAGTACAGTAAATAACTTAGAACAGATAATACAAAGGTTATAAGGTGGCAATTACAGCGGAAATCAAATCTTGGGAAAACGGGAACTGTGGCTCTTTTTCTGGTTTGAAAAAGTAGGCCTCAGAAGAATCATTAGTTAAGTTATCTTCTTCTGATCATAGTATATGTATGAAATATTTTTTGCCATTAGTAATGGTTTGGATAGCCATTGAGAAGCAAATATCCAGAAAAAAGACCATCTGCACTTAAATAGCACCTCTTTTGAATCAGAGCTGCAGCATAGTATAAAGATATGGCTTCTGCAAAATTAAATTTAATGTGCACCTTGTGACATGTTTCAAAATCTCCTCCAAAATGAAGAACAGGCAGGAGTCTATGAATATAGAAAGAGAGAAAATATAAGCCAGTTTAACAGATTTATTAATAAATAAATTTATTTATGCATTGCTTTTCTATATCACCCAGAAAACCCCTAGCTCTCTAGATGGCTCACAAAACAAAGCTTAGAAATGTAATAAAATATAACATAAAAGGTTAAAATCATTATAGATTTTTTAAATGAAGCCATTAAAAAAAAAATCTAAAGGAGCACAGAGTTCTTAGACTTCTCAGAAATCTTCAGCAGAAGTCATTTCAGCAACCTCATACAGGATGGAAGTTAAATCTACTGAAATTACCTCTCTTGCATTGATTTCAGCTGGAGTTCCATACAGGAGAATTTACTATTAAGCCTGTATCATGTGAGAACATTCGCACATTATACTTCTCCCTGAAAGGAAAGCAAACAAGCCCATTTCAACTTAGGAGCTGGCCTCCATACAGTTATTCAATTTCACTGAACATTGGCAAGTGGTAGCTCCTGCTATAACCCGAAACGGTCCACGGACCGAAAAAGGTTGGGGACCGCTGTCTTAGCTGCTTTTCACACTACAGTGGGGTCAACAAAATTTCAGCAATGACACAATAGAATGTCTGGATCCCAACTGCAAAAGGATCCAGGTACATTTAAATATAGTACTTTTCAAATAAGTACTATAGCATTTTGTTGTGCCCAATTATTTTTTCCCCACCAAGTATAGTAGAGATGAAAAAACTGTACCCAACAAAGGGAACACTTTAGCAACTTCATCACCTAGAGGTGAAAATTTCCTTAACTGATTGCTACTAATAGTTTCAGGAATCTATTAATAGATCACATTAGTAAAACAAATACCAAATGCCTGGAGTTTGGCTTTATTTAATTCAGTTTCTGAGTTTCACCTAATCAAATAAGTATGTTTTAAAGAATATTTATTCCCTGTTTTTGTCACATACTTTGAAAACATTTCAAAAAAGTGGCCACAAGGACACATACAAAATGTACTTATAGTGAAATATTATATATTTCTATTAAGGTCATCAGGACTAGAATACATCAGGAATATAATACCTGATTATATTACAGCTTATCTAGCTCCAAACTTTGCCACTTTGCACTTACCCTGGTTTTGTTTTGTTTTTTCAGTGCCAGGAATAGTGTGTATCTTTAAGTCAGTGATGGTGAGCCTTTTTGAACCTGAGTGCCCAAACTGCAACACAAAATCAACTTATTTATTTCAAAGTGCCAATAGTGCAATTAAAACCCAAATGCTGAGGTTTTAGCTTAGAAAAAATGACTGATCCTGCACTGCAAGGGTTAACTGCTTGTGTTTTTTTCTTATGGGCAGTATTAACAAAGAAATACTTACTGGTCCTCCAGTCCCCCATTGGGCTAGACTGGTAATGGTCGCCATTGCACCCCTCTGCTGCACCACTGCACCAGCAGAGGGGAGTGCCAAAATCTGGGATCGAAGGACGAGTAAGTATTTCTCGGTGGCAACTTATACCGTTTTTTGCTCCATAAGACACACTATTTCCCAAAAAAAGTATGTGCCTCTTATGGAACAAATACAGTAAAAAAGGGTTCAGCCACCACCACCCAGAAACCTCCCACTGCCATTCTGGGAGGCCTCTGAACTAGCACCAGAGACTGCTTGCTGATTGGACCTCACCATTCTGCACTGCTGGCTCTCCAGGATCTGCTTCTTGCAGCCCACCTGGAAAACCAGCAAGG